TGGAAGAAGAAACGAAGGAAGAAAGAAGAAGGTTTGCTAACGGGCAACAGCTGGTCGTTTACTCGTTTGGCCACGGTTTCTTGGATACAGGTCTGGACCGTTGTTACCAACCGATTTATCAAAACCGGTCAGTCCTTCTCTACCTCCTTCTTTTTCTTGCCTCCACCACTGTCGATGAGACCGGTCCTGTAGCCCATTTCCCTTTCGTTTCCCATCAGTTGCTCCTGCTATACGTATTATACTCGTGAACCAGCTACTCTACATGCTGGATCACGTATCGGCAAAATTTATTTTTCACTTTGCACTCGAATCTATTTAGCTTTAACGTGGACGAGTTTCTTTGTAATATAATTTTGTGGTATGGTAGTACGTAGTTTTTAGAGAGATGTTAAAAATGCCGAAGGTTGGATCGATTATATATGTATATGGGAAAAAATGAAATTTGATTGGAGAACGTTATTATAGTGCAATTTTATATTAAGATGTGACTATCGATATCGATAAATATCGTTAAAGTTGATATCGATTAAGATAATTGATGAAAACAGCTAGAGTTTTTCTAGTTTTTTTTCGCATTTGATGATATTTTTAATATATTCAAAGTATATTTATTCTAACTGCAATTTATTATTAATAACATTTTTATTAGTTTAATGATGTATCAAAAATTATGAGTAAGGTATCGATAATGGATAATTTCATTTATTTTTCTGTGAAAGTTATACTTTTGAAATGCCATTACTAAAAGATAGGAGATAATTCTAAATGCAAATATAAATAAAAAAAATAAATGAATAAAATTTTTTCGTTTTGAAGTCGTTTTGAAATCATGTTTGAAAATTTTTTAAGTGCAAGTGAAATTAGAATATTAGTAAATCATCGAAAAATTTAGAAAAATATTTTTTCATTTAAAAATTAATTTTTAAGAAAATCGAATTTGAAAATTCAAAATCAATTTTATGATTGTGTAATTATTTTATGATTGTATATAATTTACTTTCAAGTTTTAATTTCTCGAAAATTAAGAAACTTAAGAAACTGAATTTCAAATATATATTTAAAAAAATATGTATTAAATATATTAATTTTTACACATTTCGAATATAGAAAACAGATTTTTCATAGAATATATGAGATATATGAGATAATTTATTTTTTAACTTACATGATTATTAATTATAATCGTTTAAAATTTATTTTCTTTTGCTTTCGTTCTAAGTATAATTACAGTATCAACTGTTTGAAATAAATCTGAATTTTTATGGATTCTTAAATAGGGATTTGAAAGTTCGAGGGGAAGAAAGTTCGTTGCTCTTTGTTATGACTTACAAGTGCTAAATCAGATTTTAAAATTCATGTTATTTTGTATTTTTTGTAATTGAATGAACAAATATTAAAATATTGTACTTTTAAACATTGTCAATGCTTTTATCTCTTTATTAATAATAATCAAATCTTTCTGTATAAATATATCAAGTTATTGAAAAAAGATTTTAAAATTCTTAGCAATTTTCAATATTTTCTCTTGTAAATTGTTTAAAGCTTACCAATTTCATCTTCAAAAGATCTTAACTAATTAAATTGTGATCTTCTTTCATATTGAATATATTTAATCTTTAATATTAATAAGATTGAATTTTAAATTTTTTATATTCTCAAAAGATTTTTAAATTTAACTATTATTTGATACGTTTGATTTGGATTATTGAAAATTACTATTTTATTATTAGAAATTTCAAATATATATATTTAATTTATATTATTATTTATATACACTTAAAAAAATTTTTTATTTGATTGTAGAGAGAAATAAAAGTCATACTAAAATTCAAAAGAAGAAATGTTAAGTGTTCCATTACATAGTAATGTATCTACTCTATATCAGTCTGTTTAGTCTGCATGTAAATTTAGATTTCAAGTTATTTATTTTTAACAATTTGGTTCGGTTACGTGAAAGAACATATAATATATTATTGTACGATTTTTATTGAATATATGTTTGAAAAAATTATTTAATTATACAAAGAGAAATTACAATTACTAATTAAATTATATTAAGATTAAATGATTTGAAAAAAAACAAAAGAAATTTTAATTAATTTTCTTAATTGATTGATTTATTTATTTCAATTTTATAGATTAGAAAAAGAATATTGATCATTACAATATAATTTTTTAAATCACTAGTTTATTTAATAATTTGCATGATTTTAAAATTAAAAAATTAAAACTTTAAAATTTTCTTTTGCAAAAAAAATCAAAATAATTGCATTAATATGTTTATTGTTGATCAAATATTCATTAACTATTTTATTTGTATAACAAGTAATTTTCATACAAATTTTGTTGGATATTTTGAAATTACTTATACTTCACATTAATTATTATGAACAATTATTATTTTATCAAGCAATTAAGAAAGTTTTATGATGGAAAAGTTATAAACGTTATCTTTATAAAAATCAAAAGTTTTGAGAAGTGAAAAAAATATTTTACAAACTCTCTATTTTTAATTTTACAATAATCACATATACAATAATAATTCAAATGGAGAAAAAATATTGTTGAAACTTGAAGTGCACAATTCTATGTGCAATCAACCACAAACCTCAACGATTACTTGCAGTTATTCTATGAACATAACGTTTCACAAGTCTTATAAATGTTTCTTCATATTCTTATGTCATGAAAAAAAAAAAAAA